ACCCATCGAGTTGTGTGTGTCATCATCTTACCCAAACATTGGAGTGTCTGTGCTCAACTAAGGCAGAGGCGGCATCTATCAATATGACCCTAACAATGGTGTAATAATGATTCAGTTCGACTCCCGAGACAAGACGATGCTCACCCGACTGGCCAAAAAGAACAGTTTTTTTTTTTTTTTATGAAATGTTTTTTGCTATGAGTGTGATAACTTTTTCTCTCAAACTTTTCTTTTCTCTCAGATCATTTACTTTCATTTATTACACAATTCTAGCTCCATAAGAGCCCTCACCCGGACAGCACGTCAAATACACATTAAATCTTATCCACTCTAATTATATGTAAGTGTGAATCTATGAATTAAAGCCATGCACATTTGTTTCCAATTGTCCAATCAGTCACCCCTGAAACAAAATAACAAGTGCTCAAAAAAATCTATATACTAGCAGACAAAATATTTGTATATTCTTCTTTTCTGGTGTATTTTTGAAAAGAGACCACCAACTGACATTTGTGGAGGAGGCTGGGAACACCAGTTCTTTTAGTTATCAAATCCCTGAATGTGGACTAATGTAGCTTTCTACCTCTGGAGCACACATAGACAGTATTTCAGTCATCTCTTGCCAGTCCACATGCTTTAGAAATACAGAGACAGCTCTCAACAATCATAGACTTCACATAGGCTAGTCCATTTTTTTGTACATCCATTGAAGTCTTCCTGTCTTCCATGCCTGCATGACTAAATGTTCCACTGTCAGCAAACCACCCCCCTTCACAAGAAGCATGTTTTAGTTATTACTGCTACCTGCTATATAAGCAGATTCGGGGTTAAAAATAAGCGTTCTGAAACGGTCACTAGGCAGGTGTCTTTATAATGGAATATGGCTAGTCAAGAGCAGAAGCTTTCTTCTAGATCGTGCTGAAAGATCATAAGCTTCTGAAGGTTAGATTTTGAGCTAAGTGGCAGCACTTTCCTCCTGTCAATCAAGCATAATATACTAGCCAATACGTTCATTTTATATACCCTTTGAAATTTTGATCTGATAAATGCACTTTTCTATAATGGTGAAATTATATTTGACAGCCCATTTTTATTTTGAATATTTTTCATTACTTTAGAGATTGGAAATAGATCAAACTTATTGGAAAATAAACATTTCTGGATAATATTTTAATAATTTGTTTTGTCTTTAGTATAAGTGAAAATATAAGAGACAAGTAATTTAGGGAGTATTCCAGAAAGCAAGGTATATTACCGTCAAACATGCCCTGAACTCTCGGTTGATTAAAACCTTGCTTACCCGAGGTGTGCTGGTTCCAAAAACGTGTTCCATCTAGGAGTAAGTTCAGCAAACCCAGAGTATGTTCATGGTTAACACCTTTCTTGGAACTGATCCTGGCTTTGCTCAAGTTGATTTTGAAGTTATAACTGCTCAGCTTGCTAAATCTTCTGTTCTCAATTGCCATAGCTGTGCCAAAATGTGATCTATAGTTGCAAAAACACTGTGAGAAAAAAAGAAAAAGAAAAGTAAGACCAACCATTATTAACACAACACCAGGGCCACTTTTTGAAGCCAAAAACATTCACTCAGCAACACAAAGAGAATGAATATGTTGGCTCATTGTAGCTTTTATGATAATTTTTGTGTAGGCTATATGTATTAATGTAGGTAGCCTGTGCGTGCGTGTTCTTCGGAGAACAGAGTGGTTCTATTTTCATAGTTCCCCTTTGAATATTGAAACATATCCCAGATATAGAACAGTGAGGAAAAGGGGAAATGTTTCTGATTCAGATAATTAATACAAGCACATGCACACATTACAGGATTTCAGACTTCTGAAATGTGCTTTACAGTGTATATATTGGTATGGAAGTGAATTTTGCATGTGTGGTATAGGTATTGTGTGAATGAGAAAATCTTAAGAGAAAAATGTATTTGTGCATTTGAGACATTGTGTGCATAACATAACAGGCTCTGTGTTAAGTCTTATCAAGAATATTTGTGCTTAGATGTCAACTTTTGTCAGCCCAATCTCAAAGTTCTTTGAAAAATTACAAAGGAAGTATTTGATGGCCTGTCAATATAGATGCATAAACAATATTTTAATTCCAAATCTCATGAATAACACATCAAACATAATACACTGTCACTCTCAGAGAATAACAGGATCCAGCTGCTTCTAGTACATGATGCTATAGAGTACTCATATGTTCACAAAATTCTTGGTTTATTGAGTTTGTCACTTTCACCATTATGTTCTGTTTATTTTATTATTTATGGTCCTTCTGTTTGTTTTTGTTAGTTTCCTGCCACTTATAAGTTACCATGGACACTAACACTAATCATCACAGCTCTTTGTCATTGTCTCATAATCACTGTGTAGCAATGTATTTTATCCATAGACTTTTGGAAAATCGCAAAAAATAAGATCTGTGTTTAACAAAGAGTTGTGACCCTTACACATTTTGTCTATCAAGATAATCTTTTAGATAATCTTTGCTGATTGAGGAGTGTTAAGCCTCAAGTTAATCCAAAATGTATCTATTTTGAAGCCTATATAAAGATTTTAAAAAACACAAGCAGGTTATAACTATGTGTTCTATGTCATAGATCAAAACGTGAAAATATTTAGAGGCTTTGTTCACCACAGACCTTATTTCAGGCGATTTAGCAAAAACCCATTCAAAACTCCCATAGGCTTTAGAGCGAGGGAACTGGGAGTGCTAAAATCAAGGGTGTAATCCATCGATCGGAAGCTGAAGCTGGCCGGGTGCCGCCATCTCGTAGTAAAACTTCACTTGAGTCAGCATTTCCATTGACTCCCATTCATTTTGGCGTCACTTTGACAGCGAATAACTTTAAATCTGAGGTGTTTGAAGACTCCATTTGTCCATTATTTATTACTAAAGAACCACAACAATGTATAAAATGCTCCATTACCGTGCTTATATTATGACCCAGTTAAAGCAGTTTTTTTTGTAAAAGTAGGCTAACGATTGCGTCATAACCACGCGACTCTGTCGCACAGAGAAATGCTGTATGGACAGGAGGAGAAACTTGCGGGCAATCGGGGAAATATAGAGGCAAAATGACAAAATAATTCATCAGAATACCTAGCAAAAGTTTCTCCTGCTCCTAGCTCATGGACAGATCCTATTCACACTCTCCACCTCTGCCAGTTTTGGAAGGGAATGATTCAGAATTCTCATGCCACAGCCACTAGAAGACAGACGCGTTGCTCACGTCACATCTACATCGTCAACTCCAAGCTCTGTTTGAGTTGGTTTGAGTCTGCGTGTCAGGAACGAAAGTCCTAAAAAAATCGCTAAAAATTGGCTTCACTTGTCTCAGTTTAGTTCAAATGAGATGGCTCTGTCCACTTCTTATAGAGTGACGTCATCACTTCGGCACTCTATTGAGTTGGTATTTCTCAAAACCAATAATGCAAAGAACAGACTTGTGTTCTTGGGGAGAACGCTCTTGCTGGTTGTTCTTGGAAGAATGAACTCACAAGGTTACGAGCACACAGAGCGCTGCTGAGTCTGACAGTTTGAGATGATGTGTTCTTGCTGGTATTACGCTATAATAGCCCTGTACACTGTCTGCAGTACCCAAACATAACGAGAATTATTGACGATAACAGCCAGGCTGCAATGGTCTCTTGACTGTGTGGTAAAACACGTCTGTGAGCAAACTGGCTCGCTAGCTAACTTAACACCCACAGGCGCTTATGGAGATTCTCACTTCTGAAAACGTTTGAGCACATTTTCGATAGATTGAAATCTACACAGTTGATTTCTTGCATCAAATGTTCTCAAAAGTGGATTTAGAGATGAAAAATAGTGTAATTGTCGAAAAACAAAATTGTTGTATTGAACTGCCTCTTCTTCCTCAAATGCCGAATTGAATGCTGGGATATTTCTGCCGTCAAGTTCACAACTGATGCATCCTTGGTAAAATGGCCGTGTCAAGAACACATCCGGGATTTTTAACCATTCTTGCCAAAATGCAAACTGGTGTATTGGGACAGTACTTGAGCCACAAAAGATGACGTTTCATAAGGACACAAGTACAGACAAGAACACGGATTGAGAAAGAGCCTTTGTGTGACTGTCTCGCATGTTGGCTGTTTACTCTTATTTACTCTTTAAATACTTAATATTTATTATATTAAACCTTATGTAAGTGAATCATCGTCTTCATCTTCCTGTAACTAAGCATTACATGATTTTCAACCCCTCTCTGGAAAAGTACTAAAAATTCTAGAAAAAGCTTGCATCTTGGAGGCAAAATGTTTAAATTAAAATCAATTTAAAGCTTAGCATTGGCTTATAGGATAAATGAATATACGGTAATCTGATATGCACTAGATCGGAATTTCATCTGCTCAGTGGGATATACTAAGGATTATGAACAGGTGCGGCCTTATCAGCAAAGACATATGCAAGCGTATAACATTAGGTTATTTAAATCTAGACAATAATACATGATGATGTGCTTTAACTTTCTCAAAACACCTAAAGGCACCTTATGGCAAAACTAAACAGTGAAGCATGTTGTAAATTAATGTAACCTCATCCCACATCAGCTCTTTGAAGCTGGTATGTCAGAAAATATCATTATTTGAAGATCCTAAATATCATTATGAAACATGTAAATGTATTTTTGAAAAGGTGCTCAAAAACCACTACATTATATAATCTAATGAAGATATGGAAATCATTTGTTGAAATTTGTTGGTCTGTTCATGAAGAAAGCTTTTGATTTCAATTATTTATCACCATGGCACTTAGATCTCCAAGCACCTTCCATTAAAATGGATTGCATGAGAGAGCGGCTCAACAAGAACATCCCAAACTATTAAAGGCGCCTTAGTGTTATCACAGTATTCTATAAATCTATTAAAAGACAATTCTTGAAATGTTAATGTGGCATCTTTATACCCTTCAGCCCGTGTTGTTTCTCCTCCTCTTTTCCTCTCAGCAGCGGCAGCAGGGTGGGATCTCTCCATCAGGAGTGCAGCGCGTGCAGTAGCAGCAGTTTACTAACCCGCGCAGCAACTTTACTCAGAAAAAATATCTGGTGATCTTTTTTTTGGATCTTTCATCGCTTTGATCTACTTTATCCTCAAAAGAAAGCAACGAGTGGTTCGTCTGAATTAAGAGTGGTAACGTATATCAAGGTGAGATGTTTTTATATTGTTTGAAAATGTTGTTTTGAAAGATCACGTGGTTTGATTGAAATTGGCTCTATTTCAGATTAATGGGAAATTATTATTTATTTACTTTAGGAAATGTGGATTTTAATATGAAATCATATTGAATAAATTATAGGCAACAGCAAGCTACAAAACATCATTGTAGGCTATAGCGATAATTAGCCTAGATCAAGTTTTTTTAAAATATGTAAATATTATTTTTTATAGCCTATGCTTTGCTAAACAGCACTATTGAAATATTTATTATTTATTATTGTAATATTTTAAGTTTCCATTCTGGCACTCTGCAGCCCAGCTGTCGCTTAATGCCGTGCGTCAGTTTCATCTCTCTGAAGCGCGCTCTTGATGAAAATTTGTGAGGTAAATCCAACACACATCTATTTGAATTTTAAATTCCTTAATCTGTAAAGTAACTGTAACGTTCACCTTCAGCATGTGGTCATTGTTCTTCATGCCAGCAGAGGACAGCATATCTCAATGTGTAAAGTCAAGTAGCTATACGGGGTTATAGATCAAAACAGATCAGCCAATCAATTTAATGATTATAAAAGAAATTTAAGCTTTCTGTTGTGGTTGTACTAGTGAAAAAATAAATAAATAAATAACTGGGCTACATTTATTTTATGTGTTAATTACCACAATTAGTCAAAGCTATGCACTTCAACTTCCAGTTGTCTGCTTTAATTAATCATTAGCTAATGATTTGCAAAGGTATCATTATGCTATGACTTTACTTGATGAGGCACATCATTATTAACTAGTCATAATTGTAGTAATTTGCACATGAATTTGCACTAACAATTAAGTATTTAATCATGTATTAATGCATATTAGTATACCTGTCATATTACCTGGAAGTTGAAATACAAGGCTTTGGCTCATTCTGGTAATTAACATATTAATTAATGCTATTAGTTAAAAAAAATTAGTTATTATGGAATTAATCCACAATTACATATTTGATAAATAACAATTCATGTATGAACTAATACATTAACCTTACAGACTCTTAATTAGTTCCTAATGTGTTAATCATTAATGAATGGCTTAAATAATCATTAGTTACACATTAATTCAGTATTATCTGTGCATTAGTTAAGCATGAATTAATGCTTATTAGTGCACACGTATTGTAAAGTGTTACCACCTATTGCTTATAGACTTACTGATATAAATATTATAATAATAATTTATTTGGCGTATATTGCACAACGCACATTTTAAGCCTAAATATGCTAGACAAAGTATTATTTGTATATTATCAAAGTATTGTCAAAGTATTATATAGCTGTTGTAGAGCCCTGTAAGATGTGGCAGACTGAAAAAGTAGGCAATTTTTGTGAGGAATTTATATTTTATATAATTTTAATTTATATTTATATTAAGTTTTTTTAAATGTAGATTTATGTTTAGACATTATAAAATCATTATGTGTGTTTACTCTGATGTGTTGTGGTGTCACCCCTTGTTTGTGTATGTTCTGCATTGTAACAGACATTGTTTGAGAAATTATGTAACTGAGTAATTTTTTGTAGTCTCCCATTGATTTCTATCGGTGATTGTGTGTGTGTGTGTGTGTGTGTGTGTGTGTGTGTGTGTGTGTGTGTGTGTGTGTGTGTGAGAGAGAGAGAGAGAGAGAGAGAGAGAGAGATAGAGAGAGAGATCCACAATGTTGATGTGTTATAGTTTTGCTGCCACTTTATTTATGTGTAGTGTTCTGCATTGTGGCAGTGATTTAGTGATTTTGTCATACTAACATACAACCAGATTCAAAGTCATCAAGTCAATGCCATTTTGATGAAGGGAATATGAACATCAAACAATGTTCATTTCGGGTCACCCTATACCCTAACAGCGCATAATGATTAATCGTATTAGCTGGCTTTAAAATCAGTTTTTCTTCCTCTTAGGAGCAGAGACTCACTATAAGGCTGTTTATAATTTAGGCAGCAGGAACAGATATATGTAAAATACGTTACTAAAAAATTATAAATTATATATTACTAAGAAGTTTAATGCGGCTTATCTCAGCAATGCTCAGCAGGGTTATAAAATGCAGAAAAAATTATTCCAGCAGATGGATTTCTGCATTGGTAGCAATAGTCTTCTTGTCCACAATTCATCATAGATGATAGGCTGTCTCAATTGACATCGGCTTTAAACTCAGCAAAGAGTCATTGCTCAAAATAGCATGCTATAGTTGTGTGCATGCTGTTTTTCAAATTGCCAAAAAAGTGATTATCTAGTCAAAACTTGTCCATCTCTGCAGTGTGAGTCTTGGATGAGCTTAAGTTGATGTGAACTCTTGACTGGAAGCTTGAGGAGCTACACTGCTGCACACATCCTGAGCGAGTAGGATTAAATGTATTTTATTTGTAATATATTAGTGCAAATCATGGTCCTTGTTTCTGGCTTTGTTTTTCAAAAACAAAACTGCATTTTCACTATAACCTCATTATACACAAGACTAAACCTTCTGCCATTAAATTGCATTAGCAGCTCAGTGCTTTCCGTTTCTGCTTCTGTCTCTGGGCCATTATACTTTCTTGTGAATTATATGTCCTTCTCAATAGAGTAGGCTACAGTAAAAATGGGTGCTGTGATTGTCAGAAATTCCCAGTATTAAGTATGGTGACAATGTTTCAGGTATTACAGGATAGCATTGGTCCCTGTATATTTTATAATATACTGGCGAGTTTTATAATATACATTACGAGTCGTGTATAGACGGTGTACAGGGTCATACACACAAACACAAAACACCATCTGGATAATACATGACACTGCATTCGAAAGCTAAAGACTAACATTTTCAGGAGGTCTTTTTAACTGCAAAATACAAGTTGGATTCATTATTTATTTATATATTTCCATGTATACATCAATGTGCATTGCTTCGTTTGCAGAGCATGAATGCAAGGCAATAATAGGACAATATTGGTACAACACTTGGAATTTCTAATATTTAACCTCTTTTGCATTTGCTGTCCCGTCATTCAACACAAAAGCCATTCTCTTAATAAAAAAAAACAAGACAGACAAATGGGAGAGTGGACAAAACAGAGTGGACAAAACCACATTTGGGATGTGATGGTTGGGGAAAGTCAGTTCAATATAGATCACATCAATTTTATGAAAAGACAGGTGTGATCTGAAAGTGAAAATGGATTCCAATGCAGGCACAATTCTGTCCAAACAGACTATAACTATAAAATAAAAAATAGAAAAAGAAAAACATCTCTAATGTGCTGTCATATGCCAGCCTTAAGGCCATTGCACACCGAACACGAAATATTCGTATGCGTATTTTCGTGTTCGTCAGCTTAAAAATTCGTCACGCATAGAAACCTTGCACACCGAGTCCGTTGCGTATTTCTTAAACCTTTGCGGGAAAAAACGCAAAAATACCAAATGGATTCGTCAAGCAGTGAGGATGATTTTTGCCCTCTCTCTTATTGAAAAGGGAAGAAAGAGAAAATATTACGTCCATCCAATCCTGAAATTGCGCCGAGAGGAAGGAGAGTTCCTTATAAAGGAGTTGCGAATTTATCCTGAGCGATTCAAAATTTACCTCAGAATGTCAGTGGGACAGTTTGATGCTTTGCTAGCGATTCTGGAGCCACATATTAAAAACAAGACCACCAATTTCCGTGAACCAATCGATTCTGAACGGAGACTGGCAGTGTGTCTGAAATGGACCAGGTATGGACACACACACACGGACAAACACACACCCGCGCGCGGCCCGTTGGAAGCGCTGGGCAGACAGAACAGCTAGGCTGTTATTGTGTATTGTGCCCAAATAATACATTAGTTATCGAATAGGCTGCTCAATCACACCTTATTCGATCCTAAATTTCAATCTGATTGAAAGGGGAGGTTTATTAATTTCATAATCCAATATAGAGAAGAGAACATAAACACTTGATCGAATTGAAAACCGAAACTGAAAGCACGGCGCATATGTGCATAAGGACGAGCTCCCCCGGCCCTGAATTGTCAAAAGACCTCTCAAAATGCTGGCTCTGGATGCGAAAAACGCAGAAAATCGAACCCGATCCGATTAATTTTATGACGGACGAAAGTTTCGGAGGCGGTGTGCAAGCGTGACTGACATAACGTGAGGTCGAATTTTTTTTTTAACGTGCGAAAATTTCGGATGCGAATTTCGGACTCGGTGTGCAATGGCCTTTAAACTTGAGCTCAACAAGATCTCAACAACATCTCTCAACTAGAGCACATTCACATTGGAAGTATTCTTCAATTAGGAAGCATAAAATACCAATACAGCCATTAAACTGCTTTTAAACAATTAAAAAGCACTGCATAAAAGAGGCTCAATAGTCTTCTTCATGTTATATCTTACCCTGCATACATGACCTAGCCCTAAGCTTTCATGAGGTAGTCACATCATGCTTGCAAGATGTAACTACAGTTTAAATTATACATGACTATTTGGTTAGAGAATGGAATAGAATATATAATATTGAAAGCACATTCCATATTAATGCATGGCAATGTGCATACAACTGAGTAAATTTAATATTTTATAATTAATGTAATATTTTAATAATGACATTTTAATTATACCTTGTGGAAATATTCTTCTCAATATGATGTTAAAGATGTGTGGGTTCCATTATCCTATAGGGCCTATATGATACTGGAACATAGGGTACAGTTGGGCTAAAGCCACAACTTAAGAAAAAAATGTGCACTACTCCCATAGTGTATGATTGCATAAAAAAAAGTTTGTATTGAACATTTATGGAGCAATTTAGTTTAAAAATCTTATAAATCTATGAGGTGGTGAGGGGGGGCTTTTACCACACACAGGGTAAAGGCTCACCAGAATAAGGGGAAATACTTTAGCTAAAATAATTTATTTTTTAATAATGTCTAAGTTAATACTTGTTCAAAACAATCACTTCAGCAAAGTTTGTAATACTTTCTGTTTATTTTTAAAAAAATATTTTAAAACATGTTCAATAAATATACTGTCATTAAAATATGTTAAAATAAAAATATGTTTAAAAATACAGAAACAAAATTATTTTAAAAAGTAATGATTCTGAAATAATTGAAGGAGAACCCATAATTTAATATAGATTTACAGTAGTAACAACTTATATTTTATTATATGATATGAATAATGTCATATTTTAAATATTATGGTTTCGTTATAAAATGGTTATTATCTCTAAGTTGGACACCCAACTTAATAGGTAAAAGAAATTTCCCAACTGAATGTAACCATGTCATGTCAACAAATGGAAAGGTCAGCCAGCCCCGACAACATGGGCGCCCTTTACTCCAAAATACCATACTTTTACATAATGTTCTTCCGTTATTGAAAAATTGGTGCTTTTAATTAGCTTGTAAAAAAAAAACTGTACAAGACCTTTGTCTCAAAATATATTCAATAGTTTTTGTGCCACCTGGTTTAGAGGAAAATAATATCAAAGGTGCCTTTTATATGTAGGTAAAAGAGTAGCAATACTCGAGAGCACGTAGATGTGAATTTGAGAACTTGTACAATAAGTATTCATACTTATATGTGAACATTTACACTGCGCCCTTAGCCCTGTTGTAACATACTGAATAGCTACTTGAATATTTTTAAAAAATATGGCAGGGATGATATCTTTTTTAGACTACAGTAATCACCTTTTGTCTCACATGTTGGTCTAAATTGTCTCACACTCCTGCTTTGAAATTTAGGAAAGGTCAATCATTTTTAAATGAGTTATTTAATTTAATTATTGTTCTCCCCTCAGAAAGATGGAGATGACACTATTGGACCCCAACTCCACTATATCATCTCTATTTTTCTCTCCAGTGGAGGACGGCCACAATGTCTCAGTGAATCGTACCTCCTCTCGTCAATATCATTATCCAAACATCACCTACGTGGACTTCTATCTGCACGAGCCCTTGGTGTCTGCTATCTTCATTGTATCCTACCTCCTCATCTTTATTGTGTGCATGGTGGGAAATGGAGTGGTGTGCTTTATTGTGCTAAGGAGCAAGAACATGCGCACAGTTACCAATCTCTTCATTCTCAACCTGGCCATCAGTGACCTGTTGGTTGGCATCTTCTGCATGCCCACAACATTGGTGGACAACATCATCACAGGTAAGGCCCTTCTTGCTATTGTGATCAAATATTTATCTGTTATTAAATTTTTTTTTTTTTTTTTTGAATTCACTTTAAACAAACAAGACAATTGTTGTTATCTAATTACTTACGGTGAATATTATTTTGCACAGTTCACCGTCTAGGCATAATTACCTCCAAATATTAATCACTCTGTTGCTGCTATGACTACCATGGTGGATAATTTCCATCCCAATACAATTGCTTTGAAATGATACTATAATTAATGTTTATTATATATTATTATGAATAGGTATAATTATTCCAAAAATAATTATACTTATTCCGCTTTCACTCATTCTCGTCTTGTCGTGTGTGTGTGAGGTTTCGAGTTCGCGTGCTGTTACTCGGTTACCTAATTGGTTCTCTTGTAAAGACTCTCTGACCTGATCGATATGGGGAATTTGCATATAATAATTAATAATTGATAATTAATAATTATTCATGGTTTGGATCAGATCAGCCTTACATGTTATTAAATCTTCCAAGAAAGGAGGATATGTTACCTGCATCTGCATGCTTGTGTTCCTCGGCAATCAACCACAAATTGATTACAACTAATTCCTTAGACCACATGCTACAGACAGGTAAAAATGAGCTCAATTCTATATCAATATTTAATCAAAATGAATTATAATTAAATACTAGGGCTGGGTATCGATTCAGATGTTCAATTTCGATTCGATTTCGATTTGCAAGCTCTCATTTCTATCCAAATTCGTTTCTCGGTTCGATTTTCGATTCCTGATTTGATTCTCGATTCGACTATAATGAATATAGATGTAATACAAATCCTATATTTATATAAAAAAAAGAACAGTGGACATAAGTTTACTAGTGGCTAATTAATACAAAGAAATTAAGAGCCACAGACCTGTATATAAAACTCTTTTTATTGGAGGTACACTATATACTAAATGCATACAATGAATGGACAGGATTTTGATGCAAGATGCAAAATTGATGCTGAAAATTGGACAAGTCAGAACAGTCGCATGCCTTGATCAAACAGGATCAGGTTATTTTATGTTTAAGGTAGATATAAATAAATAAATATTTAGACATTTTTATTACATTGATCTGTTTGTTTTTACAATGGGATAATTTCTGCTAAGAGTTTATGCAACACATGGAAACTTGACTTCAATCTTTGAATTAAATTTAAAAAAGTAGCACAAATAAATACAATAGAATAAACTGTGAGGTTGAGCCGCACCTAGCAGACTCACGATTCTCTACACTCTCTAGAAGAGAGAACGAGTATTGGGTAAGTTGCTTACTCTATGGGTAAAGTCATCGTGGCTTCGCACCCTCTACGCTTCACAGTACGCCAGAATGGGTGTGGCTTAGCGTATAAAAGAGAGGCTTGGAGGCTGCTACCCTGGTTTTCTCACTCTGGATCTCACTCTGGGAGTTTGTATATTTTTGCTCTGCCAACAAAATCAGTTTCAAACCAAGTCAGCAGAAAGCATTTCATATTTCAAAAGAGAATAAAAAGCGCTATTTAAGCGATCTATTTGTATATGTATGGATGTATGGATGGTTGGGTGGTTGGATGGATGGATGGATGGATGGATGGATAGATGGGGACACTTTTTGATGGGGGACCTGCAATCTAAGAACAGAAACACCACTGGGGTGTTCCGAATTAATGTATTTTGTGAAATGAACTTTAACAGAGTAGAGGCAGTGAACACTGCATTGGGAACCTGTGAATTGGAACCCAGCTCGAGTGTCTTTGAACTAATCAGTTGAGTTAATTCACTGCTCACTTATGAAGAGTGAAAACCAAAATTGCATACTGTCTGAGTAGGTATTACATGAAATAGAATTTTACTTGTACAATGTTAAAAAGTACATTCTATATAGTATGTGCATGGGTATGAAATTCGTACATACTACATCCACATGTTTTGCCATGGTTTTACTGTCACATGACCTACCAGTTGTGTACCATGGATACATTTATATTTGCACAGACTGACGGTTTTGTCAGGTACATTCAAACACAGCCTGACTGATACAAATAGCCAATCAAATTCGAGGACGGGAATTGCTCCATAACTTCATAAAACCAAAGCAATGAATGGAAGTTCTTATAAACTATATATTATACTAGCTCTGTCAGTATGCAGTACTTGCTGTGGGATATTGATTGATTTCACACGAGATTTTGCGAAAGATTCTTATAAAAATGAGAAGTGACACATTTACAAATCTATTATGATTAAGATGGACCTAGAACACCACTTTGTTCATTCTCTATACCATTTATAAAGGCTCAATGTTTAGGTTTTTTATAGGAATAATGTAAGAATTATCAATACTGTCATCTTTATTTGCAGTTCTTTAAATGAGGAAAATTAAGCTTTAATCTTAAATTATATATTTGTTGTCTCTCATTTCTCTAATGAACTTTCTCGTTCGTTACAAACCCTGCCTAATTAATTTTCTCTCTTATTTAATCCATTCTTCTTTCTCCATCTGTCTTTTAAAACCCGCCTTCTCGATCACATCATTATTCATACCCACATGTCGACCAGCTGCTGCACAATATCTTCAAATTTAATCATCCTCTTAAAAAGATCTTTTGGGTTTACTATGGCAAGAGGTGAACAAAAACAATATGTCCCTGAGTGATTGAGCTGTGTTCTTTTATTCAGTCTACTAACTAACAAAACTAACACCACTCACCACACAAAAAAGGGCCAGCTTAAAGTGGTGTCAGTAAGGAGAGAAAACTGAATGTGGGCGAAAAATTTGTGATTTCTTAAGATGTTTTAAGCTATGCAATTCAAAGTCATTTCTGCCCTATTGTTCATGTTTCACTTTTCTCCTGCAGGCTGGCCTTTTGGCAGTTTGGTGTGTAAGCTGAGTGGGATGGTGCAGGGAATATCGGTATCCGCCTCTGTCTTCACTTTAGTGGCTATTGCAGTAGACAGGTGGGCAAAAAATTATTGTTGTCAAAATATTTTATTTTTCTGATTAATATTTTTTTTTTTCATGCCAGGACATGTATTATATATACACTACATTTACAACCCGAATTCCAGAAAAGTTGGGACGTTTTTTAAATTTGAATAAAATGAAAACTATACGACTTTCAAATCACATGAGCAAATATTTTATTCACAATAGAACATATATAATATAACAAATGTTTAAATGGAGAAATTTTACACTTTAGTCCACTAAATGAGCTCATTTCAAATTTGATGCCTGCTACAGGTCTCAAAATAGTTGGGACGGGGACAACAAATGGTTGAAAAAGCAAGAAATTTAGAAAGGATTCAGGTGGGAGAACATCTATAGCAACTAAATAAGTTGATATCAGGTCTGTAACATGATTAAAGGGATGTCTTAGAGAGGTAGAGTCTCTCAGAAGTAAAGATGGGCAGAGGCTCTCCAATCTGTGAAAGAGTGCGTAAAAAGATTGTGGAACACTTTAAAAACAGTGTTCCTCAACATCAAATTGCAAAGGCTTTGCAAATCTCATCATCTACAGTGCACAACATCATCAAAAGATTCAGAGAAACTGGAGAAATCTCTGTGCGTAAGGGACAAAGGCGAAGACCTTTATTGGATGCCCGTGGTCTTCGGGCCCTCAGACTACACTGCATCACTCATCGGCATGATTGTGTGAATGATATTACTAAATAGGCCCAGGAATACTTCCAGAAACCACTGTCGGTAAACACAATCCGCCGTGCCATCTCCAGATGCCAACTAAAGCTCTATCATGCAAAAAGGAAGCCATATGTGAACATGGTCCAGAAGCGCCGTCGTGTCCTGTGGGCCAAGGCTCATTTAAAATGGACTATTTCAAAGTGGAAAAGTATTCTATGGTCAAACGAGTCCAAATTTGACATTTTTGTTGGAAATCACGGACGCCGTGTCCTCCGGACAAAAGAAGAGGGAGACCTTCCATCGTGTTATCAGCGTTCAGTTCAAAAGCCAGCATCTCTGATGGTATGGGGGTGCATAAGTGCATACGGTATGGGCAGCTTGCATGTTTTGGGAGGCACTATGAATGCTGAAAGCTATATAAAGGTTTTAGAGCAACATATGCTCCCCTCCAGACAACGTCTATTTCAGGGAAGGCCTTGTGTATTTCAGCAGGACAATGCAAAACCACATACTGCAGATATTACAACAGCATGGCTTCGTCGTAGAAGAGTCCGGGTTCTGAATTGGCCTTGCCTGCAGTCCAGATCTTTCACCTATAGAGAACATTTGGCGCATCATTAAACGAAAAATGCGTCAAAGGCGACCACGAACACTTCAGCAGCTGGAAACCTATATAAGGCAAGAATGGGACCAAATTCCAACACCAAAACTCCAGACACTCATAAACTCGATGCCCAGACGTCTTCATACTGTTTTGAAAAGAAGAGGAGATGTTGCACCATGGTAAACGTGTCCCCGTCCCAACTATTTTGAGACATGTAGCAGGCATCAAATTTGAAATGAGCTCATTTAGTGGATAAAAGTGTACAATTTCTCCGTTTAAACATTTGTTATGTTATCTATGTTCTATTGTGAATAAAATATTGGCTCATGTGATTTGAAAGTCGTATAGTTTTAATTTTATTCAAATTTAAAAAACGTCCCAACTTTTCTGGAATTCGGGTTGTATAATTGGGGGATTTAAAAAAAAATGCTTTTGAAAGATGTCACTCACTAATGCTGCATTTATTTGATCCAAAAATACTGTATGGTTATACTGTGGAATATTATTACAATTAAAATATCTGTTTTCTTTTAAATATATAATTTTTAACATATAATTTGTTTCTGTGATGCAAGCTATTACTTCAGTCTTCAGTGTCAAATGATCTTTCAGAAATCATTCTGTGCTTTTGGTTTTTGACTATTTGATGTTCAAGAAAACATTTGAAAACAATTGTGCAGAATAATGGCATTTAAGTAGGCCTATTAATTTATTATATATATATTAAAAATCTCACTGACCCCAAACTTCTGAATGATAGTTTTAAAATAGTAACATTTTTAAATGCTTATTTTTTATTTATTGTATGCCTTTTTCTTAAAAAAAATTTCTTGAAACGCTTATTTTCTGTTTTTGTCTCAATTACCTCTACTCTGTTTTCTGTCATCCATCTCTTTTCTTTTCTCCTTTTATTATGTCCTTCCTTTCCCTTGTTTTATATTAATGTGTCAGATTCCGCTGCATTGTCTATCCCTTCAAACAGAAGCTTACTATCTCCACCTCCACCCTCATCATTGTCATCATCTGGGTTCTGGCTATCTCCATCATGTGTCCGTCTGGTGTTATGCTACAGGTCACCAAAGAGCACAGGGTCTCCATCTTGCTAAGTGATGGCAACACCACGCAACCCTTCTACTGGTGCCGCGAAAACTGGCCAAACCAGGAGATGCGCAAGATTTACACCACAGTTCTCTTCGCTAACATTTATTTGGCACCTTTGACACTGATTGTCATTATGTATGCTCGGATTGGACTCACACTCTTCAAAACATCAATGCCTGCTGCTGTGAGCCAAGTTGGGACCTCAGGCTCCAGTTCTGGCTCTGGAAAACGTAGCAGATATGAAAGTCGTCAACTGGTGTCCCGAAAAAAGAAGCGGGTCATTAAAATGTTGTTAGTGGTGGCCCTGCTCTTCATCCTGTCATGGTTACCATTGTGGGCTCTCATGATGCTGAGCGACTACGCAAGCTTGAGTGAGCATCAGCATCGCGTCATAAATATCTATTTTTATCCTCTGGCTCACTGGTTGGCGTTCTGTAACAGCAGCGTCAATCCCATAGTCTATGGGTTTTTCAATGAGAACTTCCGTAAAGGTTTCAAGGCGGCCTTTAAGCTTCAGCTCTGCTCAGCCCTTTCGGGGAAGAGAAGAAGCTACTCCCACCGACTGCAGGGGAATGCTGTATTGCCTGCCAGTTTGCCCATGATCAAGGAGTCTGCACTGGAGGCTGGGGGTCCCAGACCAGGGCAAGGGCTCATCCAAGGGTCGGTGTCTCTGGGCAATGGTGACAGAAACCAGTCTTCAGGTCAGGAGAACATAAAAGAACAGGATCTGATCATGGAAGATCTGGAGAAGGTGTGTGTGTGTGTGTGTGTCTTTGTGTGTTGGAGAAAATTGTTTGTCTTTGTTTGACTTTTTTATTTATCAAAGGATCTAGAAGATAATCACGATTTCTACAAAAATATTAAGCAGCACAACTGTTTTCATCGTTGATAATAATAAGGAATGTTTTTTGAGCAGCAAATCGGTATATTACAATATATACTGAAGACTTTAGTAATGGCTGCTGAAAAATCAGCTTTGCATCACAGCAATAAACTACATTTTAAAGGAACACACCGACTTTTGGGACTTTAGCTTTTTCACTGTATTCCCCAGAGTTAGATAAGTCCATACATTTCATCTACCCTGCCGTAACTCTGTGTGACACACACTGCTAGCCTAGCTTAGCACAAAGATTAGCACCAGCTAACAAAGTCTACTTCTCCCAATAAGTAACAAAATAATGCCAACACTATCTAATTAACTACTAATTAGTTCAAATATCCTCTAATCTAGAGCGAGCGTGCATGCGAGACAGATGTTGAGCTCCTACGGCGCGGACGCAAAGTCAGGACTGCAGTCAAAGCCTTTTGGGATTGACAGCGGACCGGTGAAAGCGTCAAAAGGTTGGGCAGTTCTCGAAAAATGCGGTCGGCAGCCAATTGATGTGCGGTTTGAGATGTGACATCTGTTTTGAGATTTTTTAAATATGCAAATTGTGCCGGAGTTTATGCTGGATTTAGTGCGGACTTATAGCGTTGCCAGCGGCACTGAGCGGAGTTTTGCCGCTGGAGTGGACAGCGTTCTGTTATCACTCCGCTTTCGTCCACTACGGGTTTTCCAGTCTCAGTCACAGGAAAAACTGCTCCGTGTTCAATCGATTTTAAAAGATAATCTTACGTTTTATTTTTTATATATCACAAACGTCTGAATTTATAATACTATATGTAATGGCTTGGAAAGTATTCTACATGTTTAATTCATTTTCCAGCTACCTTTGCTTTAGCAAGCACGCGCACGCATGCCCTGCACTCTGTTTCCTGGGAAACCACAGCTGTGCAGCACTGTAACTAATTAGTGCTCTTACACACCTCTCACCTGATTCCCCTCTTGTTTGATTTCTCACACTACTTAGATCCCTTCTTTATCTGCCTTCTCTCCCAGAGTGTTTTGACTTTTTTTCTGTCATTCTCCAGCCATTCAATATTCTTATATTTAGTCTAACCTTATATTGTTTCCCTTAGCCCTGTACAGATTACTTTTCCTCAACCTTTTTGGATTTGCCTCTGTCATTGGACCTTTGCCTGTTCTTTAATTTTTGTACAATTAACTGTCGGAACTGATCTGGTCTTGGGTTCTGTTTTTTTCGTTCAGCCGTTTCATTAGTACCATTTTAATGCACCTTTAAAGGGATACTCCACTTTTTTTGGAAATAGGCTCATTTTACAACTCCCTCAGAGTTAAACAGTTGAGTTTTACCGTTTTCGAATCCATTCAGCTGATTTTCTGATATTTAGAAGAATATTAGTAACCAGACAGTTTCTGGTCTTATTGACTTCCATAGTAGAAAAAAATATAAACTATGGAAGTCAATGAGACCACAAACTGTCTGGTTACTAATATTCTTCTAAATATCAGAAAATCGACTGAATGCATTCGAAAATGGTAAAACTCAACTGTTTAACTCTGAGAGAGTTGTAAAATGAGCCTATTTCCATAAAAAGTGGAGTATCCCTTCAAGGAATAGACAAGGTACAAATTTGTCCTTTTAAAGGTACTGCCCAGCAACAAGCTGTTGTTACCCCAAAGGTTTTTCTGACTGCGCAGATGCTGTAACCAACATTTTCCTTTTTTTTTTTTAATTTATTGCCATCCAAGGTAATTGTACAGCTGTTCTTCTCTAAATTGTAAATCTCCTTCTGGCATCAGCAGATTTTTTTTTTCTAATAGAGCCTGTTTGGTCCATATTTATTACAGAAAGTTTTAGTGAGAAAATTCAGGGTTTTAAACTATTGAAATGTAACCACTGTTTGTCTGTTTTTCTTCACAGGTAATGTATGATGTATAGGTGCTTAATGATCTTCATGGAACCTGTTCAAAGGTACTGTGCACCCAGATGTTTCTTCCCCTCTCGTTGACTGTTTTACTGCTGGGGGACACCATGAGTTTGTCTTTCATCTTATTTCATCTCTTTCATCTTCAAGGCAAGGATGTGCTCTGCCTTTTATCACATGAAATTAAGACAGTATCATTCCAGAACGGCAGTTTAAACTGGAGGGTTTAATATTCAGCAATTGTGTGTGAAAAACACAAACAAGGCCATTTTGTGGACCTAGCTTTGACTTAAGATGAGCAATGAAATGACGTCTTACTGGATGCCAAATTATACCCAATGTCTTTCATGGATGTTCACGCTTACACCCGGTTTAACCTGAGGAATGCACCTTGAGATTCATTTAAAATTACACCAAATGTCAAGACCACAACTAGTACAGATATTCCCATGGGAAAGGTTTCTAAAGCAGACTGAAGTACCTGAACAGGGGATATTTGAGGGGGATTTCTATTGCATCTCTAGATCTGGAAGGTAAAATTACTCCATTTTGTCAAAATGGCTTGTTCAATTTCTTCTCTTTGAGTTGTGAAATTGACTACCTTTTTATTTTTGTGCTGCTTGCTCAACCTGTTCACTTACTAACCATGATTGAATAAATGCCAGCAACAAAACATGTCTCTTGCTGGGGTGTTTACAGGGTGAATGTAGTAGGTCTTGGTCTGTGAGTATCATCACAAGTATGAATCTGTATTAGCATAAAAATAGTTGACTGTAACAGGAAGGCCATTTTTCCCGTTATTTTCACAAACACTCAGCAGTTTGTGCCCTGACATAGAGGACAGTGCCTGAGGATCTTTTCAGACTCAAAAATGCAATGTAAATGAGCTGCTGAACAAGAGCTGTGCCTTAAAAAGATGGCATTAGCGGTCCGAAACCATGAGAACTTGAACGGCCTTATGTGGAATGAGTCAAGAAACACATCCACGAGGGAATGGCAAGCTTGTCTCTGGTTATTGCATCTGACATTTATGCATATTTCACAGTTTCGCTATTGGTGAATGAAAATCTATGCTGGCTATGTTGTATGTGTAGAGAAAAGACCTCACTTCAAAATGAAGTTCTATTGTCTGTCTTTCTAATGTAAATCTGGTTTGAATGATGTGTGAACAATGCATAATCAAGCAAACAATCATTATTATTTTTTTCTTTTCTAAAAATTCTGTGTAATTTGTCTCTGAGATGTCAATGATCAAAGCATATACATAATGAATGTTATGTTGTCTAATGCTCAAATTACAAAAGTACTAATTATAATTATACAGCGCCACTGCTTGTTGCATAATGTACATCAGACAGAGAACAAGAGTTAGAGAGAGAAGCAAGTCCTTGTTGAGATATGTTACTGGTTGATGGTCATTATGAGCAACTTTATATTTTGTAAAAGTGAAAAGCAGTGTGGTGTGTCATTCTACTTGTCATGTCAGTGTGTTGTGACTGCATAATCATGTCTTTAAAGCCCTATTTATGGGGGAATATTTGGCAGTATATTTGTTGGATGTTGGAATTGTTAATGTTACCATTGGAACATATTCATTCTCGACCATGAAATATGCTATAGGATAATATAGGCCTATAAACAACATTATTTTGACACACTGTCACACAGTGGACAGGAAAATTATACAGTAAGCATCTAATTTTGTCTCTTCTCTATTTCAAAGTTGTTAAATGTCTCCAGCGCTGGAATTCACACGACGTTCTACATTTATATTCAGTTTATTCTTCTTAAGCATCTGGAAACAGTCCCAACATTGAAGGAGTGAGGTGATATGCAATGGATTTACATGATTCCCACGTATGTCATCCACAGTAACATCAAAAAACCTTCAGGTCTATCATTCTTTTTCTGAACACAGAAGTCTCGACTGACTCATACCAGCCAGATTTCTACATTTCTGTTCTCCAGTGTTTCTGGTCAAATTTGTGTATTTTCCTAGAAGAGAATGTAACATTAATCTGACAAAAAAAAAAGCATAATATGGTTCCATAGTGCTGACACTTTGTAAAAGACAGTCATTCCAACACTGCAAAGTCTCAACAGAGATTGTTCTCGACAGTTAAATGAATGGGTATAGGTGACATGAAGTGGCGTGAATTTATGTTGATAACATATCCTACATACAGCTCTGAATCGCATCCAAATTAGGAGCACTTATACCTTACTCGCATACAATAAGTTTTGCCATCCCCTTTTTCTCTCATAATTCATTGACATGATGCATATGGTGACAGAAACAGATATTTTATTTCAGGTTTGGTGGTGGACTAATCAATTAATTTCAGAAATTATTTTAGTTTATTGCTGTTTTACATCTACATTACATTTATTCATTTAGCTGACGCTTTTATCCAAAGCGACTTACAATTGCTATAAATGTCAGAGGTCGCACGCCTCTGGAGCAACTTGGGGTTAAGTGTCTTTCTCAGGGACACATTGGTGTCTCACAGTGGATCCGAACCCGGGCTCTAATACCACAGGCATGTGTCTTATCCACTGCGCCATCAGCATGCTGTTGTTGTGGCATCTATTAAACTGAGCTAATTTTTATTCTTAGTCGTATTCAAAAAGTTTAATTAATTCAGTCTCTCCTTTTACCCAGTATTAACATGGGTTCATATGGAGGCGGGAATAGGACAATAGTTCAGTGGAAATTAGAATCAGTCATGGCGGCATTCATTGGTTGCTCAGGAAAAAGATGGATATGTGTCTACATATTCAAATTGCAAATGACAACAGGCTCAATTGAGATGTTACTCTCCTGAAGTGTAGACAAGTAGATCAACACAGTCAGGTAAGGAGTGAAATATACAGTTCAACTACATGTAAGACCTAGCAGCCGGGTAGTTTTTGAATCATGACGGAGTCTGGAAATAAAAGAAATCGTATGATGTCGGAGGAGGCGAGGAAAAGAAAACGGTAGTATGATATCGAGTAAGAGCTAGAAATAGAGTGAACATTGGACCGACTTTTGCTTTTTTGTTGTTAGTAATACATCTTTTTTCCCTTTTAGTTTTAAAAACAGTGTGCTTTTATGTTAGATTGTTTTATATTTATGCACGGCGGTTTTTCTGGTGAAGGTGTAAGGATGCTCGATAACTTCCGCCGATCGTAGAGTCCAATGCAATACCGAGAATTTATATTGAATTTTATACTCCATGGTTATACTAAAGAAACGTTAGTCACAAAAACAGATAAAACAGACACCCCTCGTTGTGTTTATGATTCTTTTTTTAAAATTATTTTAAATGAACATAACTATATATAAAATTACATCTAAACGTATGTACGTTTCGTTTCAAAGACGGGAGGACAGTAAATTTTGAAGACTCTGCCATAATCCCGTTTTCCTCGGTTTTCCTCCGCTTTAATCTCCACAACCGGAAATGGACGAGCATCCTTGAGTCAAATGCGGAACTTATGCGTGCATATAGCCCATTGGCTAATGTTAGACAAAGCGTTAGCTATCGTGCAAACACATAATTAGTGATAAGCACATAATTTTCTGTTTCAGTTTTTCTAGTTTCTCACCTGTCTCTGCAATATTTTTCCCCAAAAATGCTCAAGATTTCACAGACGATGCAAATGACTTCTACGTGCTAAAATGTTCTGCAATACATTTTCTACTTTTTATCCTTGTGCAAACCTAGGTTGCTGTTACACCGTTTCAAGTTTACTGTTACACAAAATAAATAATAGAAGCAAGCAATGTCACTATTTATTTTTTCTTCGTTTGTGATTTCACAATATATCCTACTTTCATAAAATCATGCATCATACTCTACCTTGTCTGTGGCCATTATTGATTCCAAAGCTGGTGCTGGATAAACAGCGAGCGTGCACGTATTTACGACAGCAGTTATGGATAATTCCGCCTCCAACCTGTAGGGCGACCACAGAGGAAAAGTTACTTGGTGTTGCTTTAAAAAACAATGCAAAATTCCACACAATTAAAAAATTTCATTGATTTGATTTAGTTGGTCATACAAAATTTTAAGTAAAAATCCACTGGAGAGTTACTGAAATCTTTATATACCAACACCAGGTTACTCTGTCCATGCAATAACTGCATTGCTCTTTTAATGACAAGTATATAACTCAAGTAAATGGGTGAAATAATGGAACACTACTGAGATATTTGCGTCAATTAACGTCCTTGTACCCTTAATAAGTTATTCTAAAACTGCTGTGTGTATTGTTTTGATATGCTTGTAGTAAGGTCTCCAAATACTGTACATCACCTTCTGTTCTAACATATTCAAAGAGTAAGCTATTAATGATTGGCATTGGGACCCCCTAGAAGAAGAAATGAAAGCTTTAGCGTAAATTCTGCCGGGAAGACTCAATTGTTACGTCACTTATTACCTTCTCATCTATCCAATCATGTTCTAATGCTTTTAGTATAAAAGATCAGTACACGTCTGAGTTCACAGATGCTGATGCTTTCATTCCTCTTCATCCTCCTTACCACCACCTGGATGGTCCCTTCCCATACCTCCCAGGAGGTTGGCTGCGGCAAATAATTTTATATCATAATATTTGCTTGCTGGGATGTGAATTTTCCTTCGAAACATACTGACATGGTCAATGTTATAGATACATTTGTTCAAGATGTTTCAGTGACTGAACATTAATCTGGGCAGAGCCTGGCAAAGCAGGCTGGTAAAGAGTGAATATCTGTTATATGGTGGATGGTGTTATTAAACCGTAAATGTTGTGCTATATAATCTTTCTGTTTGAACTCATTGGAATTGTGTTTGTACATGGAATGTCAAATCTATGAAACCGCATGATGTCATATTTGAATATTGTCTGGGCTTACTTATTTTGTGATTGTTTAACAGATGTCCTCCCTTGTGTGACAGTTTGTGTGTACAAACCTGGCATCAGAGTCAATTCCCTGAACAATACTTTGCATATTTTCTATACTGAAAACAGCAAAAAAAAAAAAAAAATAGAATGTAGGAGGTGTTTTTCTCCACCTTTCAAGATTGTATGGCTTTGTGCATCATTACAAGAAAGATTACTGCTCATTTCTGTTGTTTAAATATAGATAGTAGATTATATGTGACTGTAAATTTTGACTTAATAGCCTATATATTAAATAAAACCAATAAATAAATTTTGTCTGTTGAATGTGTTGCTCCGATTTCCTCTACTTAGAGAAGCACAACACCCATGAGAAAGCAATATGTCCACAATGGCATATGGTATTTTTGAGAGAAGAGGAGTAAGCCTTCCCATGACAATGCCATGCAGCAAACAAAAAATGTGAGATGCCACTTCAGCACTTATGACAAGGGCTTCCTGAGGGAGGACTTGATAAGAGCAACAAATCTTCCATTATTAGATTATCGCTAAAACTCTTTAGATAAGGGAGAGAAATGCCAGTTCTCCATTAGAGGATTACTTTGAGTGCTATTAATTAGAAAGAGAGAGAGAGAGAGAGAGAGAGAGAGAGAGAGAGAGAGAGACTTAACCTTCTGCTGATTCTTAAAAAGATTATTGTTTGCTACTGTTTATGTTTTTACTTCTCATTACTCAGAATTAATGAAATGCACATTGTGTCTGATGACTGTTATATGCTGACTTTAACTTCATCAAGAAATGTGTTTTGACAAATGACATGAATCTTCTAATGCAATCTGTGAGTGAAATGGAATGCCTATAAAGTAAAACAACTTGTAATTAAATTCAGATTATAGATGAAAAGCACATTTAGCTTGTGATTAAAATAACTAATCTTGATCGCATTTTAAAGTGTTTAGGTCTTCAAAAATAGGTAACACTTTATAATACTTTATCTTACTTACTGCAACTAAGGAATTATTGAAGAACTAGGTAATTCTTTATTAACTACTTCTTCACTGCTGTTAACTACTAAGTAAGATGTGTTAACCAATCAGTATGTAATGGAATTCTATGATTGTGTTAAGTAACAGTTAGTTATCAATAACTAATGAATTCTGTCATACCTTCAGAGCTGCTACTAATTATCAAAGTGCAGAAGCGAGGCGCTGGAGAGCACATTTCGTTTGAATGGATACAAAAATACATTTTCACTACTAGATGGGAGAAATTCCTACACATTGTCCCTTTAAAGTCTAAGTCAAAAGTCAAAAACTTTAAGTGAAGAAATGAACAACAGACTTTAAAGGAGTAGTTCACTTTTTAAAAAAAAAAAAAACTTTTGCTGATAATTTACTCACCCCCATGTCATCCAAGATGTCCATGTCTTTCTTTCTTCTGTCGAAAAGAAATTAAGGTTTTTGATGATATGAAAACATTCCAGGATTCTCCATATAATGGACAATGGGAACCAAACGGTTCAAGGTCCAAATGAGAGTTTCAGAGCAGCTTCAAAGGGCTTTAAACGACACCAGACGATGAATAAGGGTCTTATCTAGCGAAACGATCGCTCATTTAAAAAATAAATAAAAAAGTTTTAGTTTTATAAGCACAAATGCTCGCCGTGCTCTGTTCAGTGATGCGCGTTCGTTACTCTCCTCAGGGCCGGCTTTGCCGACAGGCGACAGACACAGGCGGCCGCCTGGGGCGCCATCTGCTGGACGGGGCGCAAATTGCAGAATTGAAAAAAAAAGTTAATTAAATGTATGTATCGTATGATGAAAGCTGCACTTTTACTGTGCATTGTCCACACACTGCTTGTTTTTGTACATTTCTTTTACAAGATTATACAATCCTAAAAAACGACTGAGTCACTCTGACAAGCAGCTGTCAAACTCACGCGCGTTGCTTAGCTACCGGGAGTGGCGCGAAAACATGACAGCAGGTTTTAGCGCTTTATTCCTCGGTGTGTTCCACGCGGTTCCGTGCCGTCGGCTCAAAATAGTCCTCGTCGGCTTTGTTTCGCCCGATTCGACATGTTGACAAGGGGATGCCCGCGTATATTCAAAACGGTAAGCATGCGCTGCTTTGTTTACGTTATGTGTAACGTTATCTGCGGCGGCAGCGTCGGTTTTCCTTTTTGAATGACGAATATAGACTAATATATCTGCAGAAATAGAAAGTTGGCTCATTGCACGCAAACGCAGAACGCACATTCTAGCTGACAGTCGCCTGTTCTCTTTCAGTCATGGTTCAAGTGCAGCTTGAGCTTTTTACCCCGACGAGAGGGGACGAGAGGCGACATCGGCTTTCATCAGCACTAGTTCGTCGGCATTATACCTTCAATTGGTCTTCGTTTCCTGTTTACACTTCTGGGCTTCGATGACTCCAACAATTTATTGAGTAATTGTACAAAAAATATACATTTTTAATCATACAAATATTATATTTTTTTGTTTAGGCCTACTTCTCATCTATTCATTAATGCTGTGTTTTTGGAGATATAAAATT